CTCAGAACTTGGAGATCTTATATATATATATATACAGTATGTCAGAAACAATTTCTTAATTTCAACCCTTTTATTGTATACAAACTTACAAAGAAAAAAAATTATACTAAGTAAAGGAATATTTTATTAACGTTATAATGTTTCTGAAATAAATGTTTCAAAAAAAAACACGTCATTTTTCCTAAAAATATTTTTTAAAAATTAGACACCACTGGGTTGCGATTCTTAAGCCTCTGGAGTAGTAGTTTGCCTATTGATACCACTTAACATTAACGGTGTACCTGGCTTTCAGACTTATAATAAGATATTTCATCAGACTTTCAGACTTATAGTTTGTCGAAGGAACCATTTTATGTTACATTGTGCACCCCCCCAATTTGACTATGCAAGGTTGACTAAATGTAAACAATAACAAACCTCTTAAAACCGGAAGTAAGAAGAAATTAGAAGACTTCCAGTGTCTCCTTCCGCTTATGTTATGCTTACGAGGTGATGTGTGGACAGGTTTTATATTTTAGGAAATTTTGTCAATGTGATTTATATTTAAATTTACGCATAATTTTGCCATTCATAAGAGTTTGCTATAATTTATAAATTCTAACTGGTTGTGAGCCTGAGACTAATTTAACAAAATTAATATTACTGCATAAATAAAGTGTAAGGTTAGCCACGTTTTGAGTCTTATCCATTATTTGACTACCGAGGGTGTGCGGTATTGGTCCTCGTTAAACTGTTCTACCGTAAAGTGCTCGACTTCGCGTGCAGATCGTCGGGCTACCGAAGCGGGGGTGCCATCCCCTGTGCAGAGGATCAAAATTGTGATGGCATGACTTCGGATCATCCTCAGGGATGCTTCCCAGACCGTCGCCAATAGCCCATTGTGCCGCTCTAGTGTGACGTAAATGAACTACAACAACATTATTTGACTATATTTGTGTAAAATAGAACCGTTTGCTGTTTTTTGGGTAGCATCATAGCAAGCTTGCGGAGTCTTCCGAATTCATTTCTTGTTTGTTTCGTTGAAAATTAGATTGAAAGAAAGCGTTATATTGAAAATACAACAATTATAATAACATTGGATGGTGTGTTTTATAGATATAGAGGTCCCGGGTGCGTTTTTTCTTCTTCAAACTTAGGCGTAAACTCAGTTGGAAGTAGTAATCCGGAAATCTTACGACGAATTTAAACCTCTAGAGCCATCTGCGCTTAGCTTTACACGATCAACTAGTCATAATTTCCTTTCCTGTGGAAATGTATTACAAGCCGCCAGGTTCCGCAGTGGACTGATCGTTAAGACACGGTTCTCAGCAGATCACCGAAGTCAAGCATCACTGGCTACGGTCAGTGTGCGGGTGGGTGACCACTTGGATCAGTATGCGTAGGGACCGAGGGTGTGCTGTATGGGTCCTCGTTAAAATGTTCTACAGTAAAGTGCTCGACTTCGCGTGCAGGTCGTTGGGCTACCGAAGCGGGATCATCCTCAGGGATGCTTCCCAGACCGTCGCCAATAGCTCATTGTGCAGCTCTAGTGCAACGTAAATGAGCTACAACAACTACAAGCTGACCAGGTGGCCGAGCTGTTAGAGTGCCAGACTGTGAAGTCAATGGCTGCGGGTTCGAATCCCGCTCTGGACATGGGTGTTTCTCACTATGTGTATTTGAAAGTTTTACAGCGGCCTAGGCCAATAGGCCCATACGCCAAATACAGTGGAATACATTAAAAAAAGGTCAACATACCCTTATATAAAAAATACAAGAGATATACCTTGTAGAATCGGGATGGCAACAGGCCATTTACATAAATTAACATAGTAATAAAATGTTTAAAAATATCAGGTCAACAGACCCTTATAGCCTTAAAAAATTTTCCTATTTTACATAGCATTTTGCCTTTGGCAAGGATAGCGACAGTTAGAGGAAGGTATAAAATAATACATACCCTGAGCACCAGTATATTTGGGGTAAAAGTAACAAAGAGACATTGCTCGACAGGGTTCTACAAATGCGACAACTATCAAGCAAAGGTGACACCAGAGTGATTAAACATTGAAAAGTTGACGAGCTGGAGACAAAAGTACAACAAAAAAACTTACAGTAGTACAATGAAAAAAAAAAAAAAACCACCACCAATGTTTAAAATTTGGAATTAAAATCATTCAATTAATCATTAGCCAAAAGGGCAAGGGTAAAACCATTAGTCAGACCAGCTGACATAATATGTAAAACCAATTTCAAAAAATGGTAAAGTATTTAAAATCTGCAACAGGATAAAAGTAAACACGCCCCGAAGGCAAAAACGCCCAGGGGTGCCGATGAACAGTATAAAATCTGAGGTACATGACTAAAAAGACATTACAATAAATCAGGAGTAAAAAAAAGCAAAAATACAGTTTAAAACAAACAAAACCAGTAAACATAACAAAGCAGACTAAAAACAAGACAGTTATAATAAGATGGTAAAGTAGTAAAATGGAAAAAGGGTAAAATGGTAAAGTTGGTAAAAATGGGCAAGTGGTCCAGATAAAAGGGAGTTTGGCAAGGTGACAATCAATAACAAGATTAAAAGAGATTAAAAGTTATTATTATTTTGGACCAGCACCTTCTCGAGCGTAGTTTTAATAATTTGTTTAATGATATTACGGCAAATGATACTGGCAAAAATTTGATGCTCGTTCTTCTCGAGGAAGTGTTGTTGTCGGAGCGCTCGGAACCGAGAACAATGATATAGAAGATGTTCCACTGTTTGGGGTTGATAGCAATTGTTACATTTATCATCCTTATTGAAAAACTTCCTTTGGTAGGTCCCGAACACTCCGTGCCCCGTCAGGTATTGATTTAAGTAGAAATTTGATTGAATTCTTGTAGTTGACGGGGTATTAATAAACTTAAAAGTCTACCGGCCTTTATCAGAATTGTACCAATTGTACTACCACCTTGCCATTAAAATACGCTTGATTTAGGTCTTTGCTTGCCTAGGGGTCCTCAGAACTTGGAGATCTATAATCTCGGAACCAATGGCCTCCTTAGCTGCTTCTCACTATGTGTAGTTTCGGTAGCCCGACTACCTGCACGCGAAGTCGAGCATTTTACGGTAAGACAGTTTAACGAGGACTAATACCGCACACCCTCGGTCAGTACGCAGACTGCTCCAAGTGGTCACCCACCCGCACACTGACCGCAGCCAGTGATGCTTGACTTCTGTGATCTGCTGGGAGCCGTGTCTTAACTATCAGTCCACTGCGGGACTACCAGCCATAAGAAAGAAAAATATATATCTGACCGAGTCACAAAATTTTGGGTGAATACAAAATTATGAGCTTTTGTTGAAAAGTGAAACTAGCCAATCAGGTTCTCCTTTTCTTTCGAGAGGGATTGGAAGTGGGTAAATTGCATTAAGTGTGAACGGTACGTAATAGAAATAAATTTGGCAAAAGTACCTAAGTTCTTAGATGTCACAAAGCTAGACAGCCGGAAACGTTATATATGTATAGAAATAGATAATGAATGAAGCCATAAAATATTTCTTTAACTAATCATAAATATTAGTGTTGAATTATTTTTTTTATTATCTCTTTTGGGTTTGTTCCTTCAATTGAACCGAACATTTTGGAGGGTGATATTGTTGAGATATGAAATTATTCGAAACTGTTCTACGTCTCTCTTCTATACTGCCATGGGAAATTGCTTGAGATTGTGTGCTTCAACAGCTGAAGATGATACCCTTCTACCTGAGCAGTTGGACCAAGATTCATCTTCTTCACCTCCAACACCTATTGAAGTGATTACTGCAATTTTATTTTGTGATACACCTATGTAAAGTGATACTCATTTCAATTATTTATTGATTAGATATAAAACAAAAAAAATTAGAAATAATTTTGCTATTGTTAATTTTTTAATAATAGCGCTATTGTCTTCATCGTGGAGTTTTTGTTCATAATGTATACAAACATCCAATGATGCTATTTTTAACTTCATCAATCTTTCAATATCTACACTCTACAGGGGTCTGCCCAGGTTAAAATTTACTACTGTTAAAATTTACCTTCACAAATTCAAATATAGGAAAAACTTTAGTTTCCCGAAATACTTTTTCTTAAAATTTTATTTTTGTATCCCGTAGGAAGCAATAAATCCATATTTTATGTTGATTTTTTAATTTTCACAAATTATGTCTAAATTTTCAAAAAATAGATACCTTTTAGAAAAACTCAAACAGACCCCTGCTCTATGCAATCAAAATAACTTTCATATTTTTATGAAATAGGGAGAATAGGCAGAATAATCGTCATGTGGCAGAATAATCGTCAACTCTGGGCAACTTCCACGTAGTGACCCTCGAGAAACTAAAAAAATCATTACAGAAAGGGACATACTCGAAAGATATATCTTGTAGCCACCCCCCGGCAAACATTTATGAATTTTTTTTTTAAAAATTGAAAATTCAAATTCGATTTGGCACCTTGGCGATAGTTGTTTTCGTGACAGATCGCAATACATTAAGATGTTTTAAAAATAATTCTGGAGATATTTTTTATCTTAATATGCCATACCGACTGCAATCGACCAAGGCTCCAAATTGAATTTTGAACGGGGAAATTAAAAGAAGAAAAAAAGAACAAGTAGAGGTTTGCCCATGGGTTGCTACGAGTTTGTATCTGTCGAGTAACTACCACTACAATTATTAACTACCAATTCACTAGCGTATAAGATGTGCTAACTCGGTTCAATCTAAGGGTACCTTTTTATACATAAAGGTTAGCTTCGTCAATTGCTAATAATTGATACTACATATAAATAATGTAAATCATGCAAAGTTTCAAAACATGTTGTTAAATATTGCAGACTTTATGTTTTAAAGTGCAATTACTAATAGAAGTTACTATGTGTAAGAGATATGTAAGAATATTTTAAATTTTAACAATTTTGAATATTTAATTTCTGAAAATCCATTTTGAAATTAACTCAAGTATTTTTCCTCTGCTGCTCTTCAAACATTTGTTTATTTTATTTATGAAAACAATTTGTTCTTTTATGAACTGAATTTATTAATTAGAAAAAAAGTTAAATTTTAATGAATCTGCTCTTTAAAGGAGAAAGTCAGCAACCACAATCTAAACGACCCTTCTGTTGAAATGAATTGGAAATAGGCGATGCTAGAAAATTAAAGAGACACATTTTTGTAACAAATTAATTTTGTAATAAATCTTTCCTTACGTTTGTGCTAGTGGCATAATGCTTGAAAAACTCAAATAGCATACCTAGAAGTATGTACGTATTAAACATAAAGTTATATTTATTGCAAAAATAATTTATATATTTTATTCTAATGACTTTTAAAATATATTTGTGTCATTCTATAGAAAATGCAACATTTGTTACTTCAATAATAGTTAAGTGTAGAGGTATGTTACATGTTTTTAGATCTAATATTTGAGGCTATTGAATGTTGTCTTTACTGTTTAACTTTAGGATTCTCTAGATATTTAAAATATATATTTATTTTAATATTGAAAATGTTGCATTCCATTAATGTGGTTTTAAATTGAAATTAAGACTGAATTTATAGGTAAAACTTTCTTTTCTTGAATAGGAAAGACCTTCTGAACCTGTATTCTTTGTATCTCCCAATATTGGTCGTCCTATTTCACAACTCACTGAGGATGAGCAAGTTAAAATTGCTCAAAGAATAGGATTTATTCAACAATTGCCAACTGGAATTTATAATGGTGCCAACAAGAATAGAGAGTAAGTGTCTATAATAATCATTTGAATAAATATTTTGAATTTAATTGAAATATAATAATGGTATGTATTTAATGATCATTTTTCATACTTTCCCCACACATTTACAATGTTTCAGAGATGATAGTGCTCCGGAAGAAGTTTCAAGAAATCACATTTATGTATAAAAAAATTCTTGTATTATTTCATTTAAAAACATGAGAATTTATACTTGACATCTCTTTCATATTTCTGGTAGAGTAATGAATGTGTTTAGAGATGCATAATTATTAATTTAAATCATGCTGCATATAATTTATTTAGAATTTCATGTTGTGAAATTATCAATGATTTAAATTTATAAGGACAATAATTTTTTGAAATGCATCATTGATGATTTTACTCTAGAAATTTTCAGGTTTTTTGAGTTGGGCTCACAATCACCCCTGATGTTTTTAACCTTTTTTGTATCCTTAGCATTAGCCTGGTAGCAGAATTTACAAGGTCCTTAAAAATTATTATACAATAATACTAGAAATATATAATTCTTTACTTTGTAGTGTTCAGTTTCAACCCATTTCTTGTTTGCTTTTTTTTTTATAGGAGGCCAAGGATAGGAATTTTGTAAAATGCAATGTTATTTTCATTGAAATATGTTTAAATTACATTCATTAAGACAAAAAATAAGTTTCGTGCATGAAAAATAATATTTTATTTAAGAAATAAAATGGTGCGTTTACGCACCATTGACCGAATCAATGAACAATTCGTTTAGTTCAACGCTTATATTTTTAATGGATACATTCAAAGTATTTTGAATGCAAATGGACTTTGCATTTGATGAATAAATTAATCTTGTGATTTTTGCACACTTTACATCATCTGTTGGCTTCTTTTTCCATGCCCATTTATTGTATGTTGAGCTACGGATGATGGGCAACCTTTGCTTGAATGGGTAACTTGTAATGAAACTTCACCAGATGGATTGTTCTTGGATTCAGATTTTAATTGGGCAATAGCTATATAAGATCTATAGTCTATAAGTGATATTTTTGAGCTAGTTAAAATTCTATGCAACTTCCAGAAATTCACTATAACGCTATCAGTGATGTTAGTAAATAGTGGCCACCACCTTTTCGTACCTTGAATCGATGCGGTATTTAGCTATAGTATTCTCATGCAGGTCTGCACCTGCCATATGCTTATTGTTATCCAAAATAATGTTGAGTTGTGAAATCACAACTTCTTTTCTTNTAATTACCATAATGTAACTACTTCATTTGAAAATGTTTTGGTGGGTACAGATTTTGCTCTTGCAAGACCTGAAAAATTAAAGGCAACAATTTATAATTCATAGAAACTACAAAGGCAAAACAGAAGTCATTTTATTACCAGCAGAATTAAATAAATTCCGTACCAAAGTCAGCCAATTTTAATTCTCCTTTATCATTTATTAGTATATTTTGTGGTTTCAGATCTCTGTGAAGAACTTTCCGCCGATGACAGTAAGCAAGACCTCGCAGCAATTGAAAAAGAAAAAGCTATTGAAAAAAAGAATAAAATATGTTAACAAATTTCAAATACAGATACTGTAAATATATATATATATATATATATATATATATATATTTACAGTATGTACAGTTTACAAGGGGCAAAATGGCACCGTTATTGGAAACAATTGTTACCACAGCATTGTCGTTCCATTTTATTGCACATGTTTCTGTATCCTTGCTGAAAGCAATATCGTAGGAACCACAATTTTTTTTTTCTTTTCTTATTTGTGTAGTCATCCAATATACAACCACCTATGAGATTTTCGCGAGCTGTGCCACATGCAAAGAAACCCTTTTCTTTCAAAATTTCAAATAAAGTAAAGGAGGAGAGAAAGATATCAAAACTTATATTTTTCCATCCCAGGTATTGAAACAACACTAAGCTACTTCAGAACAACACTTGTTCCTTATGGCATATCTTGTCGAACACTGTTAGCCTCAGCACAATAAAACTCTGATAAAAATATAAACTTAACAGTAGAACTAATAAAACTCTGAATATGCAACAAAACTTTAATAAAACTCTGAAATCTTGCATAAAAAGTGGATTTTCAAATTTCACTTATTTTGCATGGATTCGGCCAATGGTGCGTTAACGCACCATTAAATTTTAATGAAATTTTTTTGTGATATTTGTTTTATTTCAATTTTATTTTCAGAACTTACAATTTTAACCCATTATAAAAACATATAATAAATTGCAAGTGGAATAATTATACGGTTTAAAAGAATGGACTTTTTCAATAACCATTTGAAGTTCAAAAATTAGCGTGTTTTGAAAATTTCCCAACAGAAATTATTTACTCCAATTGAATTACAAATATTTTATAGATGTCTTTAGAACCCTTTTAAACAACAGAAAAATTAAATTACAGAAGAATATTCGCCACGGTGTCAATAAATTTTTTTATTAAGAAGATACGTTTATGCACCATTGGCCGAAAATGGGTTAAAAATAAAGAAGAAAACTAAGATGAAAAATAATCCGAATAAATTGCAGCTATATGAAGTGTTTCTACTACATCAGTCTTCAATGAAGAAACTCTGCTTGTTTTGTTGCCAAGTGTCTTCACATGTCATCAGCGTTAAATAATTAGCAAGTTGAGGAATCTGCCTATCAGGTGTTTCGTGAGGTTGTCGTATCTAGTTTTTAATCTGAAAATAACAGCACCAACATGTTTTGTCATGTCACTTGTACAAATGATTAAAAAAAATCCATTTAAAAATAAAAGTCTATGTTTGTAAATTTTGTAATTAATTCATAAAATTACATAATATTGTTTTATAATTAAAACAGGGTGTGTACCGTTTTTAAAAAGTGCTTAATGGTGCTTTTTTTCATTCGGGGTTTGGGTTTGTAAAAAGTGCCTTGTTTTCTATCTTTTAAAAAGAGATTTTTTCTTTGCTGTATCGATTGTCATTCTAAATTACAAAAAATGCATGATTTTTACAATTTTCTCTGCAATATTTATCAGAAACTAGTTATTTTATCATGATTATGTAAAGATTTTGAAAATGTTTCTAAATTTTATTGATTTTATTTTTATAAATTAAGAGCTTTAAATAATAGAAAAATATAATTTTTATTGCTGCTCTGAAAATGATTTTTTTTGTTTTGGAAAGTGAATAACAATATTTTTTGAGTGCTTAAAAAGTACTTAAAAATGTGATTATTTTTTGTTGAAAAATCTGGCTACGCACCCTGTAAAATTTTTAAACAGTGTTTTTTTTCTGCCACTTAAAAAGTTTCTCTTTTTATTTTTATAATAGTTGATGAATGAGTAGTAAAAAAAATTTTTTTTTGCTTCTGAATTATTGAAATTCATAATCACTTTAATGGATTGAATAATGAATTTATTTTACAGGTGTGCCATTTGCATGATTGATTTTGTGTTTGGAGACTCCATTCGTTACTTGCCCTGCCTGCATATTTATCATGCATCCTGCATAGATGATTGGCTCATGCGATCTTTCACTTGCCCTTCATGCATGGAGCCTGTAGATGCTGCCCTTCTCAGTACATTCCATACTCATTAAAAAATGGTAAATATGCTTTTAATGCTTGCTATTGTTCATCAATAATTTATCCTTGAACTCATATTTTTTTCTATTGTGAAAAAATTGTTATAAGTACATGCCTAACCAAGTCTCCTGTTTTTTTAACGAAGACTCCTGTAGTTTACTACTATCTCCTGTTTACTTTTAATATTCTCAAATTTCTCCACATTTGTTGAAGAAATTTAAATAAAAAATTTTTTCAAAAAATTTGCCGATAAAATATCTGTTGATGGCAAAAATACTTCTCTTATTCCTCATCAGATAGTATTATTGCTGTATGTTGAGTGTTAATACTTTAAGTAAAATATCCTCAGTGTCAAGGGTTAGAGTCCCCTTGTCGTCAGGCTAACCGCAGGATCTTTTCGTGGTTTTCCTCTCTATGTAACGCAAATGCAGGTTAGTTCCATCAAAAAGACCTCATGGAGGCAAATTTCTCCTATAAATCGAAAACCTAGTCGAAAACCAAAAAAAAATTAGGTCGGCTGTTCGATGAGGGTTATAAAATAAAATAGTTTGAGTAGTTATAAATAATGGTTTCAAAAATCTTTCTTTAGATTAAGATTTATATGCATATTTTTTAGATAGCTAAATGTAAGTGCATATATAATTTTCAATTTTGAATTTCTCCTTTTGACTTGCGTGATTATGCATGATATATCAAAACTTTACTCTTAGCCTAAGAACTGTAATTAAATTATGTAAAACTGTAAGTAAATTACTATGTAAAAAAATTTTTTTGTAAAATTTCTATCTTGTTAATAGAATTCTATATCAAAATAAATTTCGTCTAATTGATTTTAATGAAAAAGGTTAGCTGATTAATTTATAGATGAACATAAATGATTTTTAACTGTAAATGATCTTTTCAAACTTCAGATATATATATATATATATATATATATATATATATATATATATATATATATATATATATATATATATATATATATATATATATATATATATATATATATATATATATATATATATATATATATATATATATATATATATATATATATATATATATATATATATATATATATATATATATATATATATATATATATATATATATATATATATATATATATATATATATATATATATATATATATATATATATATATATATATATATATATATATATATATATATATATATATATATATATATATATATATATATATATATATATATATATATATATANATATATATATATGAAAGGGTGGCAGTCATGGTGAATGTTGTTAGGCTTCGCAGATAGCAGTTGGAAGGCAAAAAATATTTTATTAGCTTCACATAGTATATTCAAGACATTTTCTATCAAAGGCGGAGCTCAAATTCGCACCCCAAAACTGTGTGCTTAAGTTTTTATCTATTACTATTACTATTTTACTATTAGTTTAAGAAAAAGGTCGAGTGATTCTCACAAAGATTATAGGGGAAAAATGTCTTTACATTTAATTATGCATACTTTAACCAAAAATAGATATAAGAACAGGATGTAGCTTTTAAAAGTGTGAGAAAGCATTTCAACTTGAATAATTAATTGGGATTTGTTTTGTAGCGAAGAAGCTAACATAAAAAGATTAATAGAAGCTTTTTATGTTACATATATATATGATGGTCATATTTTTTAATCTCTCCTGAACCTCTTTTGGGTTTTTTAGTCCTCAGTTTTGTATCGTTAAGCCTAGGTTCCTTTCAAATTGGTATTTTTTATTTGCCTATAAATAAGAGTGTTGTTTTCTTAGATTTTATTGTATTGTTATCAGTTGTATTGATGATCAATTTACATAAAGTAATTGTATTTAACCTTTAGTTGAAAGAAAGGTGCAGTAGTCAACAGAAAATGGAGCCAGCTTTTGATTTGTTTAAACTATAGCAAGTATACTTTTATCTTATTTATCGTTACGACTGTGATCATATTTTAGGTTTCCACCCTATGTTGTTGTTGCATTGTGCTAATCTTGTCTGATGTAAATATCTTCCAAATAAAGTAAATTTCAAGTCTTTACTTGTGTCTTCCCTAATATTTTAAATAATAAGGGGTGTATAGAAATCTGAACGCTTTGATCTTTAATGATAGAATTAATTTTTTTAATGTATATAACAGGGTTCGTAATTTTTTTTGGATTTAATTCAGATTTTTTTTAACATTCAAATACACTGTAAGAACTTTGATTTATGACTAAAAAAACTTTATAAATGTTTCATCAAAGTTAAATTAATACTAAACTATATTATAAGAATATTTTAGAAGCTCTAACTACCTAAAACAATTTTTCATTCTAATACATAGCTTTGAATGCATAGCAATTATTTTGAAACAAATGCATGATTGAAATTTAAAGACTAGATGAAATAGAAAATTTAAAGAATATTTTAACTATTAAAACAAAGTTTCATTTACCAAACCATAATTTTAATTTAAAATTGTTATTTCTTTTTTTTCTCATGATTTTTAAAATGACAAAATAAATGAGATTGTGTTAATAACTAGAGTCATTCATCAAAAAATAAATATTTAATCTATATATTTTTATATTAAAATATTCATTTTTAATTTTATATCAAAATAGATAAGCTAACAATTTTTTTTTTTTTTTTAAATACTTAAATGTTTACTTTAATCTGTACTTTCAATCTCAGGAATCAAAAGATTTTTGAAAATATAATTTCAAATGTGTTAGAATTTTACACATACCAAGAAAGAAAGTAATTTCATTAGCTAAAATTAATTAATGCAGCAATTTGTTTAAAATAAATTTTAAAACTAAGAAGAAGAAAAATAAAAAAAGTATCAATAATTTAAAACACTATTTTTTAACTTTTTAAATCAAAATAGATGTAAAAAAAATCATTTGATTTAAATCAATGATTTTTAAAAAAAAAATCATTTGATTTAAATCAACAAACCCTGGTATATAGTAAATATGAAGATGAAATGGTGTATTGGAAATGTGAGAATAGGGTCTGCACGACCAAAATCATAACGAAAAATGGCTTCTGAAGAAATCACATGACGTGCATACATACGCATGCGCCTGATTTCGACAAAATACGATGAAAGAAATTTTGTAACAAATTGAAGAGCAAGTGCGAAACTGAGTTTCCTGAGAATACTTAAAATATACAGGTAAGCAATTTATGTTTTAAAATGTTATATTACATTAATTTTAATAATCAGAAAAATATTTTATATTGAATCCGCTAATATTAAAAATATTGCATCATTTTATTTTAAATTGAGAATTTAGTTTCTTGATAAGTCAGTTTTTATATATGGGTCATTCTCACAAAAACAGTCATTTTCATGTCCCCAGTATATTTTATGTTTGTTTTACAGCTTACGAAAAAAAAAATTCAGGGAAAGTGTCCTTCAGAATGCAAGCTAACAAAAGAATAAAAATAAATTTATCAATTTTTATTTTTTATTTATTTTAGGTAATTAAAATATACCAATATGTCATTCCCTCACTTGTCCCCACTGCTGATTTGAAAAAAGAAAAAAATTGTTTCTGAAATAAAAAATTTTTTTTTACAAATTCGTGTTTTTTATTTCAGAATACTGAAATATAGAATTCAGAAAATCAATTTTAAATTTAATTTCTGATAAAAA